AGTCCCCTGGGCCTCCAAGTAAGGGACCGGGAGGCTCGGGTTCCGAAGGTCACGGCTTGACTCGGCTTGACCCTGGCGCACCTATCGCTTGCCCTGGCTTCTCCTTCGTCCGCCCAGTCCACTGAATCACATAGCCGCCTTTTCACGCAGCGGGTCGGGGATGAGGATTTGGGCTTGGTTTCATGGGGTTAAGCCCCAAGGGTCCAAAGGACACAATAATTAGGTACTTAGGTTTCGGACAGTAGTTGCATAGGGTACTATTTGGGAGAGAATCATGTGCTGAGGTTTTGGTCAGGATCCAGGGCCAAGTGACGTGCGCAAATGCACCGGCAAGGCACTAAAGTGCTACAGGGTCTACAAACCCGGAGCCGTAAACCCAAAACCCTGAACTCAAAACCCAAACCAGAAACCCCAAACCCCAAACCCAACACCCAAAAACCTCAAGCAAATGATAAAATAGAAGTTGTATAGTGAAGGCGGGGTTGCAGAGTATCATAAGGCAGGGTAGCGAAAAGGGGCAGGCAAACAAAGATAATACAAATCGCCGGCAGACAGGGCAGGGCAGGGGCGGGCGAGGGGCAGGCGAGGGTGTAGTGGCGAAGGCAGGGCTAGTTTGCAGAGTATGACAAGGCCGAGTAGCACAACAGGGCAGGCAAAGCATAAGACCAAAACCCTCCAGGCAGGGCAGGGAAGGGCAGGGCAGCAGGGCAGCGGGGCAGCAGGAGGTGCAAGGCAGAAGCGGCACGGGGCAGGGCGGGGCCAGGAGCAGGAAAGGGCGGGGTCGGGGCAGGGCGCCAAGGGCAGCAGGGCAGGGGAAAGCAAAAACAGGAGATTGCCAAAACCCGCTCAACATTCACTCGAAGCCCGACAAAAACTTCGCACCCAAACCCTAAACAGCTGCTATAAACTCACACCCTAAACCCAAAATCCCAGTTCTCAAGGCGCTTTGGCAGCCCAAGCACTTCTCAGATCCGCCGATGGAAAACCGGAGCCACTTCTTGGGAAAGATCCCTAAACCCTTTAAAGCACCATAAAGGCCGAACCCCCTGAACCTTATACCCTAAAGCCCTATGAAAAACCCCAAGCCCCCTAAAACCTGGAGAGTCACCCCTCAAGAATTAATTACTAAAGAACATCTCTGAACCTGAGGGGCTCCTTCGTGCGAGGGTGGGATCCCATTTTTGGGGTGGATGTACGGGCTCCTATAGGGTTTAGGGTTTAGGGTTTTAGGGTTTTAGGGTTTAGGATTTTGGGTTTTAGGGTTTAGGAGTTTAGGGTTTTATATTCACTTTCTCAAACTGCCACGGAACGCTTGACCCCAAAGCCCAAACCCGACGGATTTCCCGTGAGTCGGCTTCAGGGTTGATGGGGGGCGTAGGCTTAATGGTTTTTTTCAGGGTCTGTGGTTTGGGGGTGCGCAGGCTTTGGTCCGGCAGGTTATAGGCTGTGGGTCGGTTACGGTTTTAGCATTTACGGTTTCGGATTTAGGCGGATTAGGGTTTATGGTTGGGAGCCTACCTAGAGAACACCCTTCAACTTTGGCAAGTGCAACCCCTAGCAGTTGAGATGTGAAACTGATGTGTAAGGTCTCAGAAGTAAACCCGACAATCAGCCACTACCCAAAGTCCATAGACTTTGACATCATAAAGTCTGAAGCCCTCTAGATTCTAAACCCATAAACCCTAAACGCCAGATCCTAAACCCATGAAGGATGCTTATAAGCTCTAAACCCTACACCCTAGATCCTAAACCCCAGGCCCTAAACCCTAAACCCTGAACCCCTAAACCCCAAAACCCAAAACCCTTTAACCAAAGCTCCATGCGACATGCCAGATACTGCGCCTTGACAGTCTAGAGGCGCGTGGTCCTCACACCTGCTAAGTTGAGGGTTGGGGTTTGAGGGTTTAGGGTTTACGGTGTCAGGGTTTAGGGTTCCAATGTTTCCGGTTCAGGGCTTCAGGGTCTAGGGTTCCAGCTATAAGTAGATTTTCTTTGAGGCCTTGTCAAGGCCGCTTGTCTGAGGACCGGAACCTAACCCCTAACCCTCCAGGTACCTACTATAGAGGGTGCTAGAGCCAGTAGGGCCCTTTATAGTAGATACCTGGAGGGTTAGGGTGACCTTGAATGTTAACAAACTTTTGAGGCTAGAACTTCTTCGGAGCTGGAGCCCGTGTTCGTGGTGGTGGTGGTGGTGGTGGTGGTGGTGATGGGTGGAGGGTGGAGGGTGGTGGGTGGTGGGTGGTGGGTGGGTGGTGGTGGGTGGGTGGTGGTGGGTGGGTGGTGGTGGGTGGGTGGTGGGTGGGTGGGTGGGTGGGTGGGTGGGTGGGTGGGTGGGTGGGTGGGTGGGGTGGTGGGGGTGGTGGTGGTGGTGGTGGTGGTGGTGGTGGTGCTGCTGCTGCTGCTGCTGCTGCTGCGGGTGCTGCTGCGGGTGCTGGCCTTTGTGGTTGGTGACGTTTCTGCTCTTGTTACTGCAACGGGCAGAGCCCGGAATCACTTCCTAGACTGGTCCCTCTGAACCCACACACACACACACTTAACTCAACCCACCGAAACCCTTGAGCAAAGGCCTTTAATACGTGCACACAAACCACGCATCCAAAGCTGACTATTCGAGTGGGAAATGCATGCAATCAACTTTCTCAGATTCAGAGCTTGGGGTTTGCCCGAGGGCTCAATTATTTTAATTCATGATACTGTAAGGTTTAGGGTTTAGGGTGTCTGCTAACGGGCCTCCAGTGCATAAGCCCGACACTAAGCAGTTCCACCAAGGATCGCCAACCATGTTACGACTCTTGAACTCGAAACCCTAACCCGAAACCCTAAGCCAATACCTCAAACAATAACCCTAAAACCCTAAACCCCCAAACCCTAAACACTATCTACACCCTAAGCGCTAAGCCCTACACCTCCTAATTAACACACTAAAGCCCGAACCCCTAAACTTCTCGAACCCTCAGCTGCACCACCTGGGGCCCTCAAGCTGCCTTTTCGCAAAGCCCTCGGATCCGAACTTTCATACCTACCTGTCCGTCTATCTACCTCTAGCTTTAGGGTTAGGGGTTCTAGCTGTCTATATCTATCTATCCATATGTTTATATGTATAATCATATAACTCATATACATATAGATTAAGCCCTGAACCACTGAAACCCTGAACCCCAAGCCTGAACTAAACCATGCAGAAAAGGTCCCAAGACCACAACCCTGCAAGAACTCTGCCTGTCTCCATCCAGGAGGCGGCCCACGCACGCTGCATAGCAGGGGTTGCCTTCCTTCGAAGAGCCAGGAACTTTGGCTCAGAAGGTTTGGGGCTGAACGAAGACGGTTGCTTTGAGGGCTGTAGGTTTTTAGGGTTAAGTTTAGGGATGTTGGGACTTCAGGGCTAGGGTCTTTTTGGGACACCCCGGCCTGCAATTAGCCCTGACTGCCTGCATATATTTCGAGCCATACTAAGTACTGAAGCAGTGCACTAGCCATCGTTCAAAGACACGTCCATCACTTTTCCCTTCGGTGCTTCCGGACCCAGGAAATGCTGTCAGACGATGCAGTTTGGCCTTGGGCCCTCCAGTACAAGCCAATGGCGCCGCAGCCCTGAACCTCTACAACTTTTTTTTCCCTTAATTAATTCCCTAAGATCCTTCACCCGTGCATCTGCTCCTGTAGAGGTACATCACGCAGCCCCAGAGGAGAGGTACTACGGATGATATAAGGCATGCTATGATACCTAAGGGGTCTGGTGTTTCGAGAACATACACGCGTAGGTAATGAGCAGAGCACTAAGTAGCCTAAATCCGACCCTCAAATGCCCTTCAGCCCGGAACCGTATTAACCACCTCGATGCCTTGAGCCCGTACCTAGGCTCTGTTTAGGCTCTGTTAGATTGAAGACCCTGAGCCGGGTCACGTTGGGTAACTCCCAGCCTCAGACAACCCCAAACCTCTTCCTGAATAGAGGTATACTACAAAATGTACAACCAAAACCCTGTTCGAAGTATGGAGGCCCTTAAAACCCCTACTAGAGCGCGCGCCTTGAAGCCTCGAAAGGAACCCTGTTCAAGCCTTTGAGGCCGCTATACTAGATTGTTACGGACCCCTACCTCCTCCCGAAAGCGTAATCAAGTTCGCTCCTTGCAGGTGGACACGCGCTTGTTCACCTCAACGACCTCCAACCGGCTAAGGGTTTATAGGGTTTAGGACTTGGGGTTTAGGATGGCTGAGGTTGTAGAGCAGGAAGAAGCTAGGGTTTAAGAGGTATGCTAGCTACAATTCTCCTGACTCCAACCTGTACATACGGAGCCCTTGATCCCTGGTTACATCCCTATCCAAAAAACCCTAGACCCTAAACACTCCCTAAACCCTCAAACTTACCAAGCTCCTTGATCCTGCCGGTAAGGCTTTTGGACTGGCATCGAGGGTTTCGGCGAATTCTCAGGCTTTGCATTAGGGCTCTCGGATTTTGGAGTTTATTGGCGCCAAGATGGAGTTAAGGCTTCTAGAGGTCGAGGATTTTAAAGTTCTAGGGTGTAGCTAGACTCCAAAGGTTTGTAGAATAATAGCCTTTTTATGGGTGGGCCATTATTCTAGCCACTTTGGGGGTTGAGGTGTGAGCTTGGGAGTTTGGGGCTAAGCAGTTTAGCAGAGTTAAGGAGTCTAGTGTTTAGCACGTAATCTTAGACAGTCCGAGGTCAGGTCCTCAAAATAAGCATAGGGTTCGGAGTATGCTAGATTGTATCAGTATACTGTAATTTAGAATGCTCTTACTGATTATTCCGGCCCCGATCTTATATTATCAATTGAGGGTCGAGTTCAGGCCCCAGGAACCGAAACCCTAAACCCTAAACCCCTAAACCCGAAACCCTAAACCCCTAAACCCTACACCCTAAACTAGCGTTTTCGCCACCGTTGCCGAGGCTTGGGACCCAGGCTCCTTCTGCCCGCCTCCACCTACCCCTACCCTAACCCTCCAGGTGCCTACTATAGAGGGTACTAGAGCATCTAGGGCCCTATATAGTAGGTACCTGGAGGGTTTAGGCTAAAGTGCCGTTTAGGCTTGAACTAGGTAAATAGGGGGCTTTAAAGTTCAGGGAAACTGTCTATCCAGAAGCGCTGAAGATCTCGAAACTCCCCCAGTCACGCACGATGGCACTTCCAGAAAACAAAGGAACCGAGCAAGATCTTGATGGTAGGACATCTTGACAACCAGCTCCCCAGTTCTGTGAAGCCACAATAAAAGTCCTATCTATATTGTTTATGTGTGTATGTACATCTATACATACATATATATATATAGAGAGAGAGAGAGAGAATGAATGAACCTTGGAAGCCCTTGGCCCAGGCGGCCTTGCACTGCTTGAAGCCGCCATCGCAACCGTGAAAGACATTAACACAGTCACCGCCCGCCTCGATCGGCGAACGGGTTTTATGGGATTCGGGGCTCCCAGTTCGACTCGTATGAACATACAGGTCACTTGCACATGTTGGTTTGTGCATGCAGACCAAGCAGAGTAGAGAGAGAGAGAGAGAGACAGACAGAGAGACAGAGAGAGAGGGGTGGCAAAGCAGAGAAGGAGGGAGGGAGAGAGAGAGAGAGAGAGAGAGAGAGAGAGAGAGAGAGGGAGAGAGAGAGAGAGTGACAGAGCCAGAGACGTAGAAAGACCAGCAGACAAACAGCAAAAAAGACCAGCTTGCTGAGGATGCCACAAGCTCACAAGGCTTATCGCCTTCTCCACGACAAGGAAGACGAGTGCCGTTGCACTGCTGGGCCTCTTCTTTGAGGCAATACGTAGAGGAACTCTACAAAGGGCTGGGGGCCCTGGATGTCTTTGTAGGTTTAGGCTTTACAGAGTTTAGGGTTGAGGCTTTATAGGGGCTTAGAGAGTATACAGTGTAAACTGAAAAGCCACAAAGGCCCAGCGGCGATCATCAGGCTTCTCAGAAGATCCGCATCCTGAAGGCTTCAGTGTTTAGGGCCTTACGGCTTTGAGGGCTTGGGGGAGTCCGATGTAGTCTGTAGACCCTTGATCGAGTGATCCCTTTCTCTAAATATAACTGTGGAGCCCACTATTAGGACTTTTTCTATCAAATATCTACATACCCCCTGAGCCCCTGCCTGCTCTTCTGAATTGGGAAACCCAGGTTACTCGTAGTTGTTTCGTTTGTAAGGCTTAAGGGATGCTTGTTCAAACAAAACAGGGCTTAAGGAGTGCTTCTTCTATAAAACCTGCTATTGGACTAGCTAGCCCACTTAACCCTAAACCGTTTTGCGTTGGATTCAACTTCTGCGCGTTGCGGGCATCGAACATGCAGAAAAGATATCCCTAATCTCCCAAGACTGTCAGAGAAGTAGGGTTAAGTTAAAGGCTTATATACTTACACGCTTAAGGTTTCGAGTCTATAGAATTATGAGGAGCTTGGGGTGTAGGAGTTTCATCTGAATCATGTTGACGTTCTCGGGAGTTCATAACATCTAAGGTTTCTGGGCTTAGGAATACCCTTAACCCGAAACCCTGAACCCTGAAATCGATAGGGAACCTTTGACACTGGGGCAGGCCAAGAGATTTGGGATTGAAGTCAGGCATCCTACTGTGCGGAGTCTCGGCCACAGGGGCCTCCTTGAGGGTTTAGTAAGCATACCGCTCTCTCAGCCCGCTTTGGGAGATATGGGGCCCTTGAGCCGGAAGGGATAAGGTTATAGGGTTTAGGGCTTAGGGTTTAGAGTTTAGGATTTAGGGTATAGGTTTTAGGGTTTAGGGTTTAGGATCTAGGGTTTAGGGAGGATGCTTGCAGTCAAGTCTGACAAGTTGAACCACGTTTTGGGGATTACGAGTGCTCGGAGTCCCAGAACCGTAGCCTAAAGGAATGAAGGCAATCCCTAACCCTCCAGGTACTTACTATATAGGGCCCTATAGGGGCTCTAGTACCCTCCATAACTCTGTAGTAGGTACCTGGAGGGTTAGGGAATGATGCTCCAACTCTCCAGCTTCTACTTTGTGGTTTATGCCGGCTGCCCAGCTGAAGGTTCTAAGCTGGGTTCTTGTAGGGGATTTAAGTTATCATAATAAGGAAGCCATAATTATTCACTATAAATCCCTATACTATGGTAACTTAAATTAAATCCCTTAACAAGAACCCAGTAAGACTTCCCCCCTGTACGTCCTTCCGAGCTTTCCCTCGGCTCTTCCAGTAGTCGGCATACTTCTCATACCAGACCTCACAGTGGGCGTACACACTGTAGGGTTTAGGGTTTAGGGTACATGAAGGAAAAGGGGACTCAGCAAGCAGCGTCACAAGGGCCGAAGTTCATCCACTGTCCCCTGATCCTCTAAGTAGGGTTTCTTTTCTCAGTTCAACGATAGTTCGAGGGCTTGCATGCGGGAAACAGGTTCGAGGTTTCAAAGACTAAGACCTACTTGTGACCTTAGTTACATGGGTCTGCATAGGGTTTCGCTAAACGTCTCCGGTGAACCAGTTCGGTGTGGGATTCAGTGTTTGCAAGTCTCGCAGTTAAAACCTTCGAGACCCGTAGGGTTTTGGCTGTTTCAGCAGCCGGTTCCCTAAACCTTAAACCCCTGTAAACCCCAAACCAGGTAACCCCTAGAAACCGAAACCGAAAGCGCAGTGCTCCAGACCCCTTCAAAGATGGCAAGAATGGAACTGTTGATAAAGCCCTGTCCTTTGCCCACACAGTGCTCGGGGATTTTTGTTGGTGGATCCTTCAATTAGGGGTTTAGGCTTCAGGGTTCAGGGGTTTAGGGTTCAGTTTGGGGTTTAGGGTTTAACGTCATAGGTTCTTGTAGATCGGTGGCATAGTACCTACGCTTGCTTCCCAGTCTGCGGTCTGAAGCCCTTGAGAGCTACATTTAGGGAGGGGGGGGGGGGTTAGGGTCTGCGGCGGATCCCCAAAACCTCACACCCCCATTGACTCATCCGCAAAAGTGAGTTTGATAGAGCCCATCTTCGACACCCTAAACCCCCAAGTAAATGCAGGTGTCCATTTTCAGAAAAAAGTACTGCAACCGAAGAAGACTCAAGGGGAGCACAGGTATTCCGACACTCAAGCATCCAAGATGCGGAGAGCTTTGTCTCCATGGCGAATGGCATGCCCTCGGTGTGCCTGGGTTTCGGGGTTTAGGGTTTTGGGTTTAGGGTTTGGGGTTTTGGGTTTAGGGTTTAGGGTGTAAGCACTGGAGTTTTTCGGCAGGTGCCGTTCTAAGGAGGAGCCTGAAGTGGGAATTCAGTACCCGGCAAGAGTACTGAATCCAGAACAAGACGAACACCCCCGAACTGCAAACCTTCAACCCTGTACTGGTTCAGACAGATCTAAAAGCAGATCCTGGCAAGCACTAAACCACAGGCAGTGTTATGCTTCAAACCCAGATGAATTGCTCCAGAGCATGCATGGAAGCTTGGCGAGGGATTTGTTGGTTGTGGAGGGGCAGAAGGGTAAGCCTGAACAGCTACATGATGGCTACATGTAGTAAGATTCCTATCGACTGTCCGTTCGAATGCTCGGACTCGAGCCATATTTGATGACCATATCTGCATAGGCGTAGAGTCGTAGAGTTCACGAAGGTTCAAGGTTTAGGATCTAACTCACTCAAATCACACCCTACGTTGTTGTTGGCGCAACCTTGCATCGACTTGCAGGGGTCTGGAGGATGCCTGGGAATGCAAGGTCGATATACAGGATCTTCGTTTATGCGGTTCAAGAGGCAGGACAGAAGACGCGGATCCAGGCATCATAGGTCCCTAAGTTATTAGAATAACGCTGCCGAAACAGTTGCAAATGCATATCACCTGAAAAGGCTGGATTAAGGGCTGTTTGGGTTGTGGGGCTTTGTTTTGGCGGGGTTCGGGTTCAGGGTTAATGGTGTGTCCGGATTTGAAGGTTTGTGGCTTTGCGCTTGCATGGAGCTCAGGAATTTCCATTATCTTCGGGTCTGCGACATTAGAGGTAAGGCGAGCGCATGCGCATGACGTCGCCGCCGGCGATGCCAACACCGTACCTCGGGGAAAGCGCTGGAGCTATCCACTTTATCTCTCTCTCTCTCTCTGTCTATGTGTATATATATATAATATAATATAATATATATATATATTATCTTATTTATGGCATGAAAGCAGCACATCTTCAGATGAGTGAGGTCTGGGGTTGAATGCAGGGCCCTGATTAAGAGACCCCTTCTGCTCACTAGAAAGAAATTCGGGAAGTCAGGAATCAGGCCTTGAAAGGAAAGGAGGCGTTGGTAACCGGCGACCACAAAGGGCTTGAGGTTTAGGGATAAGATGCATGGCCTCGTTTAGCCGTTTAGAGTTTAAGGTCTGCCTTGTGGCTGATTCCACAGAGAGGTTCCAATGTTTCAACGTCTTGGTGTAGGGTTCACCTAGACCCCCCAACTACCCTGCAATATACCGTAAAGTAACACTATTAAGGAGCGAAAGGGCTCTAATAAAGGGCACTTGCCTCGGACCCTCAATGGGAGGTCCTGGCAGGGTCAGGGGTTAAGGGTCCTGAACCCTAAACTCCAAAACCTAAACCCTAAAGGCTTTAAGTGGTTTAGAGATTGCTTTTCAGGACTTCAGGCCAAACAACCGGTCGGAGAACATCCAGGATGTAGAGCACGGCATAATGCTTCATTTAGGGGTTTAGGGTTTAGGCATCGAGGAGTCTCGAGGAAGCTGTAAAGTAGGTAAAAGTTGAGTTGACCAGAAGTGCCACGACTTGGTATTTACGGTACGCGGAAACCCGCCGCAGATATTCAGAGTCAGGCTTCAGGGCTTAAGCCAGGCTGTCGACGGTGTAAAGAGCCATAAACCCCTCGACGCTCAAACCCCAAACACCCTTTTGCAGTTGGCCGTGTAAGGCTCAGAGGGTGCATCATAAGGATACCAAGTCTTTAAAGCTAGGAATGCTTTGAGGCTAATAGGCCTAGTCGTCGTGGGCCGGTGTAGGCCAATCTTGTTCGTGAAGTCTAAACTCGCCGACGATCCGTCTGACAGAAATGCCAAACTCCAACCTGAGCGCCCTTCAAAAGCCCAAATTCCCTCAAACCCTTAGACCGACAGCGTTGAATCTCACCGACTTCGGACGAGGTGCTTCAGGTAGCTCGTGGGGCTATCACTCTCCTTCTTGGAGGGACCTCCGCCTGTTTCATTGCTTTAGGGTTTAGGGTTTGACCCAGATCCCTCAAAGGCTCTGATACAAAAAAACCCAAAACAGACATCGCGCGAGTCTTTTATCATTGCATAGGTTTTTGCGCCAGGACTTCAGGCGTTCCAGTTCATCAAGGTTTAGGCTTTCCAGTTCAGAGTTTCGAAATTTGGGGATTTCCCGCAGTACCGTACCAAGCCCGGAGCCATGCCTGGAAGACGGGGGGGGGGGCGGTGGTTTCAGGGGTGCGGGTCTCTGGTCCCTAAACCCTATAAACCCTAAACCTTTGGAAGGTACCGCAACCCCACCAGGCCACCGAAACCAAAGTAGTCCGCGGTAAAGCTCAAACTGAACCGAACCACAAGTCTCATGAAGAGTTATACCTGCAGTCTCCGTTGTAGTTCCTTTCTGGGGTTACCTTTTAGGATCCTTCATATATAATATATAATATTATGGAATCATTATATCCAGTGACTAGACGGGATATGTTTACTATGCCTATTGAACTCTGGCCCATGGGAATGGACTGCCACGTCTCCGACCTAGCACTGCTCCCGAACGTCCTGAAACTAGAGGTTAACATAGGTTTAAGGTTTAGGGCCTACCCTCCTGAATTTAGGGTTTACTACGAGAGCCTTCGAAATTTGTTGAAAAAGGGTTTGGGGGCATACTAAAGTAGAACTAGCCAGGGACTGTCAGGGGACATTAATTCAAACAGGGCCTCAAGCCCTGAACCTTGTATATCTTTTAAATCCTGGATCCTAACCCTAATTACATCTGAACCACTGACCTCGCTAGGCCTGAAGTTTGCCCGAAAGTAAGTCCCAATTCCTACTAGACCTAAACCCTGAATCCAAAGAAAACGTTATAAACCCTACAGCCCCAAACCCTAAACACTGAATCCTAAAACCTTAACGCACCGAGCTCTGAACCACCTGAAGCTGATGTTCGGGCCTGCAGCCATGTCGAAGGGGCATTTGCTGAAGCCGCGGCAGTAGCCCTTCCTCGGAAGTCCACCCTTTGGGGTTTAGGGGTTTAGAGATGTAGAGTCTCGGGCTCATGGTGTAGGGCGTAACAGTGTAGGGTTTTAGAGTTGAAGCCCGAAACTCTTGCGAGTGAAAGGGATCCTTGGGTTGCGACAGCCGATGAACTCCTAAACCTCGATGCCTTATCTAGGTGTCAACTTCAACAGTCCCCAAAATTATTTATAATTAGGGCTCCATATTGAACAATAAATTACAGAAATTTGAAAAACATGCCAATCGATACCTTATGTTTAGTTTAGTGTTGAGGGCTTGTGGGTTTCAGGGTGGATATCAGATCGGGGAGCAGCAAGGTTCGGTAATTTCGCATTCGGGTGAAGAACTGGGCAAGGTTTACAGGGTTTAGGGCTTTGGGTCTAGGGCTTAGGGTTTAGAGCAACGAGTAGATAAGCGCTTCCAATTCAGAGTTTGATGCCATGTGGCTTGGGCGTGTTGGTCTTTATTTGATCAAAGATCCTATTAGTTGATGCATTGCATGTGATCAGCCTCCGCTCCCTCCCAGCCCCCACTTATTTGTTTGTTCATTTCCCTAAACCGACATATACACTCTGACAAGGAGCCCAGTCAGGCTCTGCTTCATGGGAACATTCATAGGAACAGTGCAGCCTACACTGGGTCCCTTTCCAGGCGCCTCCGACGAAACTGAACAATCCCGCAGCGAGACCTCGATCGCAAAGCCCACAACTATTGACGAAACCATCCCCCCATCGGCAGGAGTAGTAAGGATCCGTGTACTATCGTCGCTTAAGCTGAGGTGGAGCCTGCAATTGTTGGAAGCAAAGGCGTTCAAACCCTAATCCTGCACCGCTTAGGGTTGCTAGGGGGTGGTTGTTTGGGATCCTCGGGTTTTGGAGCTGTGGCAGTTTAGCGTTTAGTGGTTTAGTTTATAGGGGCTTAGGGGCTTAGGGGTTTAGGGTTATAGGGAACACATGTAGAAGTTTCAAACAAGAGATCCTGAGATAGCGCGGGATTCGACTTGGAGAATAGGTCGAGCATTGAGGATCTAGGATAATGCGGCCCCCACCCAATGCAGTAGCATCCGTTGCAAGAGAACTCCTGATCTGTGACTCTCATGTATAGTAGAAGCCAGAACGTTGGAACATGACTATCCTCATGCCCTTACAAGGTCAAGTATAAGGGATCCTAGCACTATGCTTCCCAAACCCATGTTCCAACTTTTCAGGGATTTGTTGCACCCATGTCCCCTAAACCCTATAAACCCTAAACCCCAAAACCTAAACCCTAAAACTCTTCGACGGGCATCTTCTTCGCGTTGCAGACGCGGAAGAGACCGATGAAGTCACCCCACTCCTGGAGCCAGGGGTTTAGGGTTTAGGGTTTAGGGGCTTGGGGGTTTAGGGGTTTAGGGGTTGGGGGTTTGGGGGTGTAGGGGTTTAGGGTTTAGGGTTTCTCCTGGAGCCAAGAGAATCCAACATCCCTGAACCGATGGGTGTGGGTAGTTCTCTACATTAGGATCCCTTTTTAAGTCCCCAATATGGTACGGCACCCTTATAAGAAGGACCCTAAAGGGGACCCCAAATATAGAGGCCTACCCTACTAGTAACATGTACATCAGAACTGTGTCTTGGGCTCCAGGCTGAGGACTATGGGGCTTTGATGTTCGAACCCAAGAAGTCAGAGAACTGTGGACAGAGGGTGCCCAATACTATTATGCTACATTGACTACAAAACCTAAAGCCTGAAAGCCCGTAACACCCACACCCTTGCAACCCTTAGCTTTAACCCCCCCCAATGGGTCCTAAGTACCTATCTAGTAGAATGTAGGGTTTCTATATTGGGGATCATCAAATGTGATTTGGGAAAGCATCCCCCATAACAGTACCTAGCACCCTTTGTGCCCTAAAGAGTTTGGCAGATCCTTTGTTGAGAATGCAGTATACAGCAGATTGTTGTCATAAGCCCGAGGAGTTCATGGTGTTGTGCTTATGGTGTCAAGGGTTTAGAGTTTCAGGATTTAGGGGGTTGAGGGTCAAGCTGTTTATTGTTTGTTAGCTCCCTGGTGTTTAGGTTTACTTAGCCTGGTTTAGAGTTCCGGGTATGTAGTCCTACATCCCACTAAGCTCCTAGCGCCCTAAACCCTTCAGCTCCTCGGGAACCTGGCACTCGGGACAGTCCTGACGTGTGGCCGAACTTCGTGGGGCTGCCGGGTTTAGGTAAGGGACAGGCGCCTTGCTTCAGGGCTGGGGGTTTTGAGTTTTGGGCTTGGGGTCGCTGGAGGGTCATCTCTTTTTTCGGTTGCGGCTTTGGGGTCTAGATTCGTGATCAGTCCACGCAAGACGTGTGAAGCCTTCCGTTTATGGACATGTGGTGTTCAAGGTTCTGGTATTTTATGACATCCTTGAGGTCATGTCGCTGCAGTAGCTGCAACTCATGTTTTTTGTGCAGCTGTGGTCGATTACAAAAAGCTTGCAGGAATCAGCACTACCTCATCGCGGTCTTCGTCTGGTCACTCGTTACTTACTCCTCTGCTAAGAGGTGCTGGCGTGGAAGTATGGAATTCCGCTAAAGCCAAAGTCAATCTTAAAGGTCTCTGGACTCTTCAAAGCTTAGAAGAAAGTAGGAACTCGTCTGACTAGAGGGATAAACAAGCTTTGTATTGCATCGGTACCATTGCGCAGTTGTCTCGTTGGTGTATTCCGTATACTTAATGGAGCTGAGTACCCTAGTCCAAAAATATGTTAACCCTTCCAATTATGGTAGGACTATATAAACCCCAAAAGGTTAAAGGTTACCTACTCAGCTACTAAAAACCCACTGTCTGTTATGATTGAGCCGGGCCCGGGTGATGAGAGGACAGGGGGCTCTGGAATGTGGAGTCGAGCGAAATACCACCAAACCCAACGGCACACACAGATCTGGATATGATATGCTCAACAGGGTTTAGGATCGAAGATTTTGGGAACCCTAAACCCTAAACATCCCTAGTCCCGAAACCCTAAACCCCTAAACCCTAAAGCCCTGAATTCTAAACCCTAAAACCTAAACCCTAAAGCCCTGAAGCCCCAAACCCTAAAGCCCTAAACCCTAATCCCCTAAAACCCTAGAGCCCTAAACCCTAAACCCCTAAAGCCCTAAACCCTAAAGCCCTAAAACCTAATCCCCTAAACCCTATAGCCTCCCCTGGGGGGTTGGGGCTTCTGCTCGCGGCGCCTTGGAGAAGCCCTTGATGATCTTTTTCCCTGAGCAGGCGTCTACTGTAGGCTTAGGGTTTCAGGGAGGGGTTAGGGCTTAAGCAGGGTTTTGGGTCTGGAATTTTGGGGTCTACGGTTTCAGGGAGGGTTTAGGGTTTAAGCAGGGTTTCGGGTCGAGGAATTTTGGGGTTTAGGGTTTATTATCCGCAGTACGTATCCTAACTGCAGGTCCTCTGCGTGGATTTTCCGGGATTGGGACTCATGGCTTGGGATGAGCACGTAAGGATGTGAGGGTTTGAACAGCTAAGCAGCTAGGGGATACTGACACATCGCTTAGACAGTCTCGTAGGGACCTCTTGAATGCATAAATTCTGCTAATTGTCTGACAACCCTCCTACTGCCAGATACAGTGGGTGCTGGCATATACCTCCCCTACATTGTGCAGAAGTTCATTGTGAATTATGAGGACTACTCTTATATCCCGGTTGTTGATCACCCCAGCGCTTAGGGTTGGTGGGACAACGGCGTGCGGCTGAAGTCACAAAGCTCGCTAGAGTTTGGTAAACAAGCGGAACAGCGAAGGGACTTGGGGGAGTCCAGCTACGAAGGCTCAGCCGGCAGGTACACATAGACATGGGGCGAAGCCTTGTGAAGCTTGGGCTGCCTAAACCCTGCCTTAACCCAAATAACCGTAAATAGCCTAATTTCCAAGGATTTATAGAAAGAGATCATCATAAGGAACAGTGGAAAAGGTCGGACATTTGGGGACCAGGTAAGCCCAGCTGGTCGAAACGATGGCAGGGTGCGGTCGTAGTCGGACTCCTCCTTCTCAACATCCGCACACGCAGAGCTTGAGTCGAAAGGGTTGCTCGCTTGCCTTGCAGTTCGCGGCACTGGAAAGGAAGTTGTTTTGAAGCTTGGGAGCTGAGAGGAACGAGAGGACTCTTCAGCTGCGTCCCTCGGCTCTTCCGCAAAGCAACTGTCTCTCGTTGCCGTCTCTCTCCATCTGTGTCGAGCTCGCTCCGTCTATCTGCGTCTATCTCTCTCTCTCTCTCACTCTCTTGTTCTTTTCCTTCTCTCTCTGGCTCTCTCCTCTCTCTCTCTCTCTCACAACTATATTGCAACATGCATACATGCTTGCATTGCTTAATGCTGTTGCGGGCGCTGTTCTCGCAGCAGGGCAGCGCTGGGAAATACGTGGTGCAAATACACCTGTTTGACAGTGAGTATGTAACTGGAAAGCATCCAGTTAGAAGTCTATGCGGTCGTCGACGTCGTCGAGGTCCTAGAAGTGCTGCTTTTGTTGTTGTCGTCGTCGAAGTCGTCGTCGTCGGGGTAGCAGTAGCAGTAGTGGCAGTGGTGGTAGTGGTAGAAGTGATAGTAGTGGGAGTGGTGGTGGTGGTGGTGGTGGTGGGGGCGGCGGCGGCGGCGGCGGTGGCGGCGGTGGCGGTGGCGGTGGCGGTGGTGGTGGGGGTGGTGGTGGTGGTGGTGGTGGCGGCGGCGGCGGCGGCGGTGGCGGTGGCGGTGGCGGTGGCGGTGGTGGTGGGGGTGGTGGTGGTGGTGGTGGTGGTGGTGGTGGCAGTGGTGGCGGTGGTGATGGTAGTGATCGTCGTCGTCATCGTCGTCGTCGTAGCAGCAGCAGTAGTAGTAGTAGTAGTAGTAGCAGTAGTAGTAGTAGTAGTAGTAGTAGCACTATGTGGTGTAGTAGTTGGTGTTGTCCAAAGCTTTGAGCCGTCCGTGGCCGAGGTGTTTAAACTTC